CAGAGAGCTGGCGTTGTGTCTGGGTGTTGGCAGAGAGCTGGCGTTGAAGATGAGTGTTGGCAGAGAGCTGGAGTTGTGTCTGGGTGTTGGCAGAGAGCTGGCGTTGTGTCTGGGTGTTAGCAGAGAGCTGGAGTTGTGTCTGAGTGTTGGCAGAGAGTTGTTGCTGTGGAAGAGAGTTGGCAGAGAGCTGGCGTTGTGTCTGGGTGTTGGCAGAGAGCTGGAGTTGTGTCTGAGTGTTGGCAGAGAGTTGTTGCTGTGGAAGAGAGTTGCAGAGAGCTGGCGTTGTGTCTGGGTGTTGGCAGAGAGTTGTTGCTGTGGAAGAGAGTTGGCAGAGAGCTGGCGTTGTGTCTGGGTGTTGGCAGAGAGCTGGAGTTGTGTCTGAGTGTTGGCAGAGAGTTGTTGCTGTGGAAGAGAGTTGACAGAGAGATGGCGTTGTGTCTGGGTGTTGGCAGAGAGCTGGAGTTGTGTCTGGGTGTTGGCACAGAGTTGTTGCTGTGCCGAGGTGTTGGCAGAGAGCTGGCGTTGAAGATGAGTGTTGGCAGAGAGCTGGCGTTGTGTCTGGGTGTTGGCAGAGAGTTGTTGCTGTGGAAGAGAGTTGGCAGAGAGCTGGCGTTGTGGGGGAGTGTTGGCAGAGAGTTGTTGCTGTGCCAAGGTGTTGGCAGAGAGCTGGCGTTGAAGATGAGTGTTGGCAGAGAGCTGGCGTTGAAGATGAGTGTTGGCAGAGAGTTGGCGTTGAAGAGGAGTGTTGGCAGAGAGTTGTTGCTTTGCCAAGGTGTTGGCAGAGAGTTGTTGCTGTGCCAAGGTGTTGGCAGAGAGTTGTTGCTGTGCCGAAGTGTTGGCAGATAGCTGGCGCTGAAGAGGGGTGTTGGCAGAGAACTGGCGTTGAAGATGAGTGTTGGCAGAGAACTGGCGTTGTGTCTGGGTGTTGGCAGAGAGCTGGCGTTGTGTCTGGGTGTTGGCACAGAGTTGTTGCTGTGCCTAGGTGTTGGCAGAGAGCTGGCGTTGAAGATGAGTGTTGGCAGAGAGTTGGCGTTGAAGATGAGTGTTGGCAGAGAGCTGGCGTTGTGTCTGGGTGTTGGCAGAGAGCTGGCGTTGTGTCTTGGTGTTGGCAGAGAGTTGTTGCTGTGGAAGAGAGTTGGCAGAGAGCTGGCGTTGTGGGGGAGTGTTGGCAGAGAGTTGTTGCTGTGCCAAGGTGTTGGCAGAGAGCTGGCGTTGAAGATGAGTGTTGGCAGAGAGCTGGCGTTGAAGATGAGTGTTGGCAGAGAGTTGGCGTTGAAGAGGAGTGTTGGCAGAGAGTTGTTGCTGTGCCAAGGTGTTGGCAGAGAGTTGTTGCTGTGCCAAGGTGTTGGCAGAGAGTTGTTGCTGTGCCGAAGTGTTGGCAGATAGCTGGCGCTGAAGAGGGGTGTTGGCAGAGAACTGGCGTTGTGTCTGGGTGTTGGCAGAGAGCTGGCGTTGTGTCTGGGTGTTGGCACAGAGTTGTTGCTGTGCCTAGGTGTTGGCAGAGAGCTGGCGTTGAAGATGAGTGTTGGCAGAGAGTTGGCGTTGAAGATGAGTGTTGGCAGAGAGCTGGCGTTGTGTCTGGGTGTTGGCAGAGAGTTGTTGCTGTGGAAGAGAGTTGGCAGAGAGTTGTTGCTGTGCCGAAGTGTTGGCAGATAGCTGGCGCTGAAGAGGGGTGTTGGCAGAGAACTGGCGTTGAAGATGAGTGTTGGCAGAGAACTGGCGTTGTGTCTGGGTGTTGGCACAGAGTTGTTGCTGTGCCGAGGTGTTGGCAGAGAGCTGGCGTTGAAGATGAGTGTTGGCAGAGAGCTGGCGTTGAAGAGGAGTGTTGGCAGAGAGTTGTTGCTGTGGAAGAGAGTTGGCAGAGAGCTGGCGTTGTGGGGGAGTGTTGGCAGAGAGTTGTTGCTGTGCCAAGGTGTTGGCAGAGAGCTGGCGTTGAAGATGAGTGTTGGCAGAGAGCTGGCGTTGAAGATGAGTGTTGGCAGAGAGTTGGCGTTGAAGAGGAGTGTTGGCAGAGAGTTGTTGCTGTGGAAGAGAGTTGGCAGAGAGTTGTTGCTGTGGAAGAGAGTTGGCAGAGAGCTGGCGTTGTGGGGGAGTGTTGGCAGAGAGTTGTTGCTGTGCCAAGGTGTTGGCAGAGAGTTGTTGCTGTGCCGAAGTGTTGGCAGATAGCTGGCGCTGAAGAGGGGTGTTGGCAGAGAACTGGCGTTGAAGATGAGTGTTGGCAGAGAACTGGCGTTGTGTCTGGGTGTTGGCAGAGAGCTGGCGTTGTGTCTGGGTGTTGGCAGAGAGTTGTTGCTGTGCCTAGGTGTTGGCAGAGAGCTGGCGTTGAAGATGAGTGTTGGCAGAGAGTTGGCGTTGAAGATGAGTGTTGGCAGAGAGTTGGCGTTGAAGAAGAGTGTTGGCAGAGAGTTGTTGCTGTGGAAGAGAGTTGGCAGAGAGCTGTTGCTGTGGAAGAGAGTTGGCAGAGAGCTGGCGTTGTGGGGGAGTGTTGGCAGAGAGTTGTTGCTGTGCCAAGGTGTTGGCAGAGAGTTGTTGCTGTGCCGAAGTGTTGGCAGATAGCTGGCGCTGAAGAGGGTGTTGCAGAGAACTGGCGTTGAAGATGAGTGTTGGCAGAGAACTGGCGTTGTGTCTGGGTGTTGGCACAGAGTTGTTGCTGTGCCTAGGTGTTGGCAGAGAGCTGGCGTTGAAGATGAGTGTTGGCAGAGAGCTGGCGTTGAAGAGGAGTGTTGGCAGAGAGTTGTTGCTGTGGAAGAGAGTTGGCAGAGAGCTGGCGTTGTGGGGGAGTGTTGGCAGAGAGTTGTTGCTGTGCCAAGGTGTTGGCAGAGAGCTGGCGTTGAAGATGAGTGTTGGCAGAGAGCTGGCGTTGTGTCTGGGTGTTGGCAGAGAGCTGGAGTTGTGTCTGAGTGTTGGCAGAGAGTTGTTGCTGTGGAAGAGAGTTGGCAGAGAGCTGGCGTTGTGTCTGAGTGTTGGCAGAGAGCTGGAGTTGTGTCTGGGTGTTGGCAGAGAATTGTTGATGTGGAAGCGAGTTGGCAGAGAGCTGGCGTTGTGTCTGGGTGTTGGCAGAGAGTTGTTGCTGTGGAAGAGAGTTGGCAGAGAGCTGGCGTTGTGTCTGAGTGTTGGCAGAGAGCTGGAGTTATGTCTGGGTGTTGGCAGAGAGCTGGAGTTGTGTCTGAGTGTTGGCAGAGAGCTGGCGTTGTGTCTGAGTGTTGGCAGAGAGTTGTTGCTGTGCCGAGGTGTTGGCAGAGAGCTGGCGTTGAAGATGAGTGTTGGCAGAGAGTTGGCGTTGAAGAGGAGTGTTGGCAGAGAGTTGTTGCTGTGGAAGAGAGTTGGCAGAGAGATGTTGCTGTGGAAGAGAGTTGGCAGAGAGCTGGCGTTGTGGGGGAGTGTTGGCAGAGAGCTGGAGTTGTGGGGGAGTGTTGGCAGAGAGTTTTGCTGTGCCAAGGTGTTGGCAGAGAGCTGGCGTTGAAGATGAGTGTTGGCAGAGAGCTGGCGTTGTGTCTGGGTGTTGGCAGAGAGCTGGAGTTGTGTCTGAGTGTTGGCAGAGAGTTGTTGCTGTGGAAGAGAGTTGGCAGAGAGCTGGCGTTGTGTCTGGGTGTTGGCAGAGAGCTGGAGTTGTGTCTGGGTGTTGGCAGAGAATTGTTGATGTGGAAGAGAGTTGGCAGAGAGCTGGAGTTGTGTCTGAGTGTTGGCAGAGAGTTGTTGCTGTGCGAGGTGTTGGCAGAGAGCTGGCGTTGTGGGGGAGTGTTGGCAGAGAGTTGTTGCTGTGCCAAGGTTTGGCAGAGAGTTGTTGCTGTGCCGAAGTGTTGGCAGATAGCTGGCGCTGAAGAGGGGTGTTGGCAGAGAACTGGCGTTGAAGATGAGTGTTGGCAGAGAACTGGCGTTGTGTCTGGGTGTTGGCAGAGAGCTGGAGTTGTGTCTGGGTGTTGGCAGAGAATTGTTGATGTGGAAGAGAGTTGGCAGAGAGCTGGCGTTGTGTCTGGGTGTTGGCAGAGAGCTGGAGTTGTGTCTGGGTGTTGGCAGAGAATTGTTGATGTGGAAGAGAGTTGGCAGAGAGCTGGAGTTGTGTCTGAGTGTTGGCAGAGAGTTGTTGCTGTGCCGAGGTGTTGGCAGAGAGCTGGCGTTGTGGGGGAGTGTTGGCAGAGAGTTGTTGCTGTGCCAAGGTGTTGGCAGAGAGTTGTTGCTGTGCCGAAGTGTTGGCAGATAGCTGGCGCTGAAGAGGGGTGTTGGCAGAGAACTGGCGTTGAAGATGAGTGTTGGCAGAGAACTGGCGTTGTGTCTGGGTGTTGGCAGAGAGCTGGAGTTGTGTCTGGGTGTTGGCAGAAAATTGTTGCTGTGGAAGAGAGTTGGCAGAGAGCTGGCGTTGTGTCTGGGTGTTGGCAGAGAGCTGGAGTTGTGTCTGAGTGTTGGCAGAGAGTTGTTGCTGTGGAAGAGAGTTGGCAGAGAGCTGGCGTTGTGTCTGAGTGTTGGCAGAGAGCTGGAGTTATGTCTGGGTGTTGGCAGAGAGTTGTTGCTGTGCCGAGGTGTTGGCAGAGAGCTGGCGTTGAAGATGAGTGTTGGCAGAGAGTTGGCGTTGAAGATGAGTGTTGGCAGAGAGTTGTTGCTGTGGAAGAGAGTTGGCAGAGAGCTGGAGTTGTGTCTGGGTGTTGGCAGAGAGCTGGCGTTGAAGAGGAGTGTTGGCAGAGAGTTGTTGCTGTGGAAGAGAGTTGGCAGAGAGCTGGCGTTGTGTCTGAGTGTTGGCAGAGAGCTGGCGTTGTGTCTGGGTGTTGGCAGAGAGCTGGCGTTGAAGATGAGTGTTGGCAGAGAGTTGGCGTTGAAGAGGAGTGTTGGCAGAGAGTTGTTGCTGTGGAAGAGAGTTGGCAGAGAGCTGGAGTTGAAGATGAGTGTTGGCAGAGAGCTGGCGTTGTGTCTGGGTGTTGGCAGAGAGCTGGCGTTGAAGATGAGTGTTGGCAGAGAGCTGGAGTTGTGTCTGGGTGTTGGCAGAGAGCTGGCGTTGTGTCTGGGTGTTAGCAGAGAGCTGGAGTTGTGTCTGAGTGTTGGCAGAGAGTTGTTGCTGTGGAAGAGAGTTGGCAGAGAGCTGGCGTTGTGTCTGGGTGTTGGTAGAGAGCTGGAGTTGTGTCTGAGTGTTGGCAGAGAGTTGTTGCTGTGGAAGAGAGTTGGCAGAGAGCTGGCGTTGTGTCTGGGTGTTGGCAGAGAGTTGTTGCTGTGGAAGAGAGTTGGCAGAGAGCTGGCGTTGTGTCTGGGTGTTGGCAGAGAGCTGGAGTTGTGTCTGAGTGTTGGCAGAGAGTTGTTGCTGTGGAAGAGAGTTGACAGAGAGCTGGCGTTGTGTCTGGGTGTTGGCAGAGAGCTGGAGTTGTGTCTGGGTGTTGGCACAGAGTTGTTGCTGTGCCGAGGTGTTGGCAGAGAGCTGGCGTTGAAGATGAGTGTTGGCAGAGAGCTGGCGTTGTGTCTGGGTGTTGGCAGAGAGCTGGAGTTGTGTCTGGGTGTTGGCACAGAGTTGTTGCTGTGCCGAGGTGTTGGCAGAGAGCTGGCGTTGAAGATGAGTGTTGGCAGAGAGCTGGCGTTGTGTCTGGGTGTTGGCAGAGAGTTGTTGCTGTGGAAGAGAGTTGGCAGAGAGCTGGCGTTGTGTCTGGGTGTTGGCAGAGAGTTGTTGCTGTGGAAGAGAGTTGGCAGAGAGCTGGCGTTGTGGGGGAGTGTTGGCAGAGAGTTGTTGCTGTTGCCAAGGTGTTCAGAGAGCTGGCGTGAAGATGGAGTGTTGCAGAGAGCTTGCGTTGAAGATGAGTGTTGGCAGAGAGTTGGCGTTGAAGAGGAGTGTTGCGAGAGTTGTTGCTTGTGCCAAGGGGCAGAGAGTTGTTGCTGTGCCAAGGTGTTGGCAGAGAGTTGTTGCTGTGCCTAGGTGTTGGCAGAGAGCTGGCGTTGAAGATGAGTGTTGGCAGAGAGTTGGCGTTGAAGATGAGTGTTGGCAGAGAGCTGGCGTTGTGTCTGGGTCTTGGCAGAGAGCTGGCGTTGTGTCTGGGTGTTGGCAGAGAGTTGTTGCTGTGGAAGAGAGTTGGCAGAGAGCTGGCGTTGTGGGGGAGTGTTGGCAGAGAGTTGTTGCTGTGCCAAGGTGTTGGCAGAGAGCTGGCGTTGAAGATGAGTGTTGGCAGAGAGCTGGCGTTGAAGAATGTGTTGGCAGAGAGTTGGCGTTGAAGAGGAGTGTTGGCAGAGAGTTGTTGCTGTGCCAAGGTGTTGGCAGAGAGTTGTTGCTGTGCCAAGGTGTTGGCAGAGAGTTGTTGCTGTGCCGAAGTGTTGGCAGATAGCTGGCGCTGAAGAGGGGTGTTGGCAGAGAACTGGCGTTGAAGATGAGTGTTGGCAGAGAACTGGCGTTGTGTCTGGGTGTTGGCACAGAGTTGTTGCTGTGCCTAGGTGTTGGCAGAGAGCTGGCGTTGAAGATGAGTGTTGGCAGAGAGCTGGCGTTGTGTCTGGGTGTTGGCAGAGAGTTGTTGCTGTGGAAGAGAGTTGGCAGAGAGCTGGCGTTGTGGGGGAGTGTTGGCAGAGAGTTGTTGCTGCCAAGTGTTGGCAGAGAGCTGGCGTTGAAGATGAGTGTTGGCAGAGAGCTGGCGTTGAAGATGAGTGTTGGCAGAGAGTTGGCGTTGAAGAGGAGTGTTGGCAGAGAGTTGTTGCTGTGGAAGAGAGTTGGCAGAGAGTTGTTGCTGTGGAAGAGAGTTGGCAGAGAGCTGGCGTTGTGGGGGAGTGTTGGCAGAGAGTTGTTGCTGTGCCAAGGTGTTGGCAGAGAGTTGTTGCTGTGCCGAAGTGTTGGCAGATTAGCTGGCGCTGAAGAGGGTGTTGGCAGAGAACTGGCGTTGAAGATGAGTGTTGGCAAGAGAACTGGCGTTGTGTCTGGGTGTTGGCAGAGCTGGCGTTGTGTCTGGGTGTTGGCAGAGAGTTGTTGCTGTGCCTAGGTGTTGCAGAGAGCTGGCGTGAAGATGAGTGTTGGCAGAGAGTTGGCGTTGAAGATGAGTGTTGGCAGAGAGTTGGCGTTGAAGAAGAGTGTTGGCAGAGAGTTGTTGCTGTGGAAGAGAGTTGGCAGAGAGCTGTTTGCTGTGGAAGAGAGTTGGCAGAGAGCTGGCGTTGTGGGGAGTGTTGGCAGAGAGTTTGTTGCTGTGGCCAAGGGTTGGCAGAGAGTTGTTGCTGTGCCGAAGTGTTGGCAGATAGCTGGCGCTGAAGAGGGGTGTTGGCAGAGAACTGGCGTTGAAGATGAGTGTTGGCAGAGAACTGGCGTTGTGTCTGGGTGTTGGCACAGAGTTGTTGCTGTGCCTAGGTGTTGGCAGAGAGCTGGCGTTGAAGATGATGTTGCAGAGAGCTGGCGTTGAAGAGGAGTGTTGGCAGAGAGTTGTTGCTGTGGAAGAGAGTTGGCAGAGAGCTGGAGTTGAAGATGAGTGTTGGCAGAGAGCTGGCGTTGTGTCTGGGTGTTGGCAGAGAGCTGGCGTTGAAGATGAGTGTTGGCAGAGAGCTGGCGTTGTGTCTGAGTGTTGGCAGAGAGCTGGAGTTGTGTCTGGGTGTTGGCAGAGAATTGTTGATGTGGAAGCGAGTTGGCAGAGAGCTGGCGTTGTGTCTGGGTGTTGGCAGAGAGTTGTTGCTGTGGAAGAGAGTTGGCAGAGAGCTGGAGTTGTGTCTGAGTGTTGGCAGAGAGTTGTTGCTGTGCCGAGGTGTTGGCAGAGAGCTGGCGTTGAAGATGAGTGTTGCAAAGAGTTTTGGCGTTGAAGAGGAGTGTTGGCAGAGAGTTGTTGCTGTGGAAGAGAGTTGGCAGAGAGCTGGAGTTGTGTCTGGGTGTTGGCAGAGAGTTGTTGCTGTGCCAAGGTGTTGGCAGAGAGCTGGCGTTGAAGATGAGTGTTGGCAGAGAGCTGGCGTTGTGTCTGGGTGTTGGCAGAGAATTGTTGATGTGGAAGAGAGTTGTCAGAGAGCTGGCGTTGTGTCTGGGTGTTGGCAGAGAGTTGTTGCTGTGCCGAGGTGTTGGCAGAGAGCTGGCGTTGATGATGAGTGTTGGCAGAGAGCTGGCGTTGTGTCTGGGTGTTGGCAGAGAGCTGGAGTTGTGTCTGGGTGTTGGCAGAGAGCTGGAGTTGTGTCTGGGTGTTGGCAGACAGTTGTTGCTGTGCCGAGGTGTTGGCAGAGAGCTGGCGTTGAAGATGAGTGTTGGCAGAGAGTTGGCGTTGAAGAGGAGTGTTGGCAGAGAGTTGTTGCTGTGGAAGAGAGTTGGCAGAGAGCTGGAGTTGTGTCTGGGTGTTGGCAGAGAGTTGTTGCTGTGGAAAGAGAGTTGGCAGAGAGCTGGCGTTGTGTCTGGGTGTTGGCAGAGAGCTGGAGTTGTGTCTGGGTGTTGGCAGAGAATTGTTGATGTGGAAGAGAGTTGGCAGAGAGCTGGAGTTGTGTCTGGGTGTTGGCAGAGAGTTGTTGCTGTGCCGAGGTGTTGGCAGAGAGCTGGCGTTGTGGGGGAGTGTTGGCAGAGAGTTGTTGCTGTGCCAAGGTGGTGGCAGAGAGCTGGAGTTGTGTCTGGGTGTTGGCAGAGAGCTGGAGTTGTGTCTGGGTGTTGGCAGAGAGCTGGAGTTGTGTCTGGGTGTTGGCAGAGAGCTGGAGTTGTGTCTGAGTGTTGGCAGACAGTTGTTGCTGTGCCGAGGTGTTGGCAGAGAGCTGGCGTTGAAGATGTAGTTGGCAGAGAGTTGGCGTTGAAGAGGAGTGTTGGCAGAGAGTTGTGCTGTGGAAGAGAGTTGGCAGAGAGCTGGAGTTGTGTCTGGGTGTTGGCAGAGAGTTGTTTGCTGTGGAAGGTGTTGGCAGAGAGCTGGCGTTGAAGATGAGTGTTGGGAGAGCTGGCGTTGTGTCTGGGTGTTGGCAGAGTTGTTCTGTGGAAGAGAGTTGGGGAGAGCTGCGTTGTGTCTGGGTGTTGGCAGAGAGTTGTTGCTGTGCCGAGGTGTTGCAGAGAGCTGGCGTTGATGATGAGTGTTGGCAGAGAGCTGGCGTTGTGTCTGGGTGTTGGCAGAGAGCTGGAGTTGTGTCTGGGTGTTGGCAGAGAGCTGGAGTTGTGTCTGGGTGTTGGCAGACAGTTGTTGCTGTGCCGAGGTGTTGGCAGAGAGCTGGCGTTGAAGATGAGTGTTGGCAGAGAGTTGGCGTTGAAGAGGAGTGTTGGCAGAGAGTTGTTGCTGTGGAAGAGAGTTGGCAGAGAGCTGGAGTTGTGTCTGGGTGTTGGCAGAGAGTTGTTGCTGTGGAAGAGAGTTGGCAGAGAGCTGGCGTTGTGTCTGGGTGTTGGCAGAGAGCTGGAGTTGTGTCTGGGTGTTGGCAGAGAATTGTTTGCTGTGGAAGAGAGTTGGCAGAGAGCTGGCGTTGTGTCTGGGTGTTGGCAGAGAGCTGGAGTTGTGTCTGGGTGTTGGCAGAGAATTGTTGATGTGGAAGAGAGTTGGCAGAGAGCTGGCGTTGTGTCTGGGTGTTGGCAGAGAGCTGGCGTTGTGTCTGGGTGTTGGCAGAGAGTTGTTGCTGTGGAAGAGAGTTGGCAGAGAGCTGGCGTTGTGTCTGGGTGTTGGCAGAGAGCTGGAGTTGTGTCTGGGTGTTGGCAGAGAATTGTTGCTGTGGAAGAGAGTTGGCAGAGAGCTGGCGTTGTGTCTGGGTGTTGGCAGAGAATTGTTGATGTGGAAGCGAGTTGGCAGAGAGCTGGCGTTGTGTCTGGGTGTTGGCAGAGAGCTGGCGTTGTGTCTGGGTGTTGGCAGAGAGTTGTTGCTGTGGAAGAGAGTTGGCAGAGAGCTGGCGTTGTGTCTGGGTGTTGGCAGAGAGCTGGAGTTGTGTCTGGGTGTTGGCAGAGAATTGTTGCTGTGGAAGAGAGTTGTCAGAGAGCTGGCGTTGTGTCTGGGTGTTGGCAGAGAGCTGGAGTTGTGTCTGGGTGTTGGCAGAGAATTGTTGATGTGGAAGAGAGTTGGCAGAGAGCTGGCGTTGTGTCTGGGTGTTGGCAGAGAGCTGGCGTTGTGTCTGGGTGTTGGCAGAGAGTTGTTGCTGTGCCGAGGTGTTGGCAGAGAGCTGGCGTTGTGGGGGAGTGTTGCAGAGAGTTGTTGCTGTGCCAAGGTGTTGGCAGAGAGTTGTTGCTGTGCCGAAGTGTTGGCAGATAGCTGGCGCTGAAGAGGGGTGTTGGCAGAGAACTGGCGTTGAAGATGAGTGTTGGCAGAGAACTGGCGTTGTGTCTGGGTGTTGGCAGAGAGCTGGAGTTGTGTCTGGGTGTTGGCAGAGAATTGTTGATGTGGAAGAGAGTTGGCAGAGAGCTGGCGTTGTGTCTGGGTGTTGGCAGAGAGCTGGAGTTGTGTCTGGGTGTTGGCAGAGAGTTGTTGCTGTGGAAGAGAGTTGGCAGAGAGCTGGCGTTGTGTCTGGGTGTTGGCAGAGAGCTGGCGTTGTGTCTGGGTGTTGGCAGAGAGCTGGAGTTGTGTCTGGGTGTTGGCAGAGAGCTGGAGTTGTGTCTGAGTGTTGGCAGAGAGCTGGCGTTGTGTCTGGGTGTTGGCAGAGAGTTGTTGCTGTGCCGAGGTCTTGGCAGAGAGTTGGCGTTGAAGAGGAGTGTTGGCAGAGAGTTGTTGCTGTGGAAGAGAGTTGGCAGAGAGTTGTTGCTGTGGAAGAGAGCTGGCAGAGAGCTGGCGTTGTGGGGGAGTGTTGGCAGAGAGTTGTTGCTGTGCCAAGGTGTTGGCAGAGAGCTGGCGTTGAAGATGAGTGTTGGCAGAGAGCTGGCGTTGTGTCTGGGTGTTGGCAGAGAGCTGGCGTTGTGTCTGGGTGTTGGCAGAGAATTGTTGATGTTGAAGAGAGTTGGCAGAGAGCTGGCGTTGTGTCTGGGTGTTGGCAGAGAGCTGGAGTTGTGTCTGGGTGTTGGCAGAGAGCTGGAGTTGTGTCTGAGTGTTTGCAGAGAGCTGGCGTTGTGTCTGGGTGTTGGCAGAGAGTTGTTGCTGTGCCGAGGTGTTGGCAGAGAGCTGGCGTTGAAGAGGAGTGTTGGCAGAGAGCTGGCGTTGTGTCTGGGTGTTGGCAGAGAGCTGGAGTTGTGTCTGGGTGTTGGCAGAGAGCTGGAGTTGTGTCTGGGTGTTGGCAGACAGTTGTTGCTGTGCCGAGGTGTTGGCAGAGAGCTGGCGTTGAAGATGAGTGTTGGCAGAGAGCTGGCGTTGTGTCTGGGTGTTGGCAGAGAGCTGGAGTTGTGTCTGGGTGTTGGCAGAGAATTGTTGATGTGGAAGAGAGTTGGCAGAGAGCTGGAGTTGTGTCTGGGTGTTGGCAGAGAGTTGTTGCTGTGCCAAGGTGTTGGCAGAGAGTTGTTGCTGTGCCGAAGTGTTGGCAGATAGCTGGCGCTGAAGAGGGGTGTTGGTAGAGAACTGGCGTTGAAGATGAGTGTTGGCAGAGAACTGGCGTTGTGTCTGGGTGTTGGCAGAGAGCTGGAGTTGTGTCTGGGTGTTGGCAGAGAATTGTTGATGTGGAAGAGAGTTGGCAGAGAGCTGGAGTTGTGTCTGGGTGTTGGCAGAGAGCTGGAGTTGTGTCTGAGTGTTTGCAGAGAGCTGGCGTTGTGTCTGGGTGTTGGCAGAGAGTTGTTGCTGTGCCGAGGTGTTGGCAGAGAGCTGGCGTTGAAGAGGAGTGTTGGCAGAGAGCTGGCGTTGTGTCTGGGTGTTGGCAGAGAGCTGGAGTTGTGTCTGAGTGTTGGCAGAGAGCTGGCGTTGTGTCTGGGTGTTGGCAGACAGTTGTTGCTGTGCCGAGGTCTTGGCAGAGAGTTGGCGTTGAAGAGGAGTGTTGGCAGAGAGTTGTTGCTGTGGAAGAGAGTTGGCAGAGAGTTGTTGCTGTGGAAGAGAGCTGGCAGAGAGCTGGCGTTGTGGGGGAGTGTTGGCAGAGAGTTGTTGCTGTGCCAAGGTGTTGGCAGAGAGCTGGCGTTGAAGATGAGTGTTGGCAGAGAGCTGGCGTTGTGTCTGGGTGTTGGCAGAGAGCTGGAGTTGTGTCTGGGTGTTGGCAGAGAATTGTTGATGTTGAAGAGAGTTGGCAGAGAGCTGGAGTTGTGTCTGGGTGTTGGCAGAGAGCTGGAGTTGTGTCTGGGTGTTGGCAGAGAGCTGGAGTTGTGTCTGAGTGTTTGCAGAGAGCTGGCGTTGTGTCTGGGTGTTGGCAGAGAGTTGTTGCTGTGCCGAGGTGTTGGCAGAGAGCTGGCGTTGAAGAGGAGTGTTGGCAGAGAGCTGGCGTTGTGTCTGGGTGTTGGCAGAGAGCTGGAGTTGTGTCTGGGTGTTGGCAGAGAGCTGGAGTTGTGTCTGGGTGTTGGCAGACAGTTGTTGCTGTGCCGAGGTGTTGGCAGAGAGCTGGCGTTGAAGATGAGTGTTGGCAGAGAGCTGGCGTTGTGTCTGGGTGTTGGCAGAGAGCTGGCGTTGTGTCTGGGTGTTGGCAGAGAGCTGGAGTTGTGTCTGGGTGTTGGCAGAGAGCTGGAGTTGTGTCTGAGTGTTGGCAGAGAGTTGTTGCTGTGGAAGCGAGTTGGCAGAGAGCTGGCGTTGTGTCTGGGTGTTGGCAGAGAGCTGGCGTTGTGTCTGGGTGTTGGCAAAGAGTTGTTGCTGTGGAAGAGAGTTGGCAGAGAGCTGGCATTGTGTCTGGGTGTTGGCAGAGAGCTGGAGTTGTGTCTGGGTGTTGGCAGAGAATTGTTGATGTGGAAGAGAGTTGGCAGAGAGCTGGCGTTGTGTCTGGGTGTTGGCAGAGAGCTGGAGTTGTGTCTGGGTGTTGGCAGAGAATTGTTGATGTGGAAGAGAGTTGGCAGAGAGCTGGAGTTGTGTCTGGGTGTTGGCAGAGAGTTGTTGCTGTGCCGAGGTGTTGGCAGAGAGCTGGCGTTGTGGGGGAGTGTTGGCAGAGAGTTGTTGCTGTGCCAAGGTGTTGGCAGAGAGCTGGCGTTGTGTCTGGGTGTTGGCAGACAGTTGTTGCTGTGCCGAGGTGTTGGCAGAGAGCTGGCGTTGAAGATGAGTGTTGGCAGAGAGTTGGCGTTGAAGAGGAGTGTTGGCAGAGAGTTGTTGCTGTGGAAGAGAGTTGGCAGAGAGCTGGCGTTGTGGGGGAGTGTTGGCAGAGAGTTGTTGCTGTGGAAGAGAGTTGGCAGAGAGCTGGCATTGTGTCTGGGTGTTGGCAGAGAGCTGGAGTTGTGTCTGGGTGTTGGCAGAGAATTGTTGATGTGGAAGAGAGTTGGCAGAGAGCTGGCGTTGTGTCTGGGTGTTGGCAGAGAGCTGGAGTTGTGTCTGAGTGTTGGCAGAGAATTGTTGCTGTGGAAGAGAGTTGGCAGAGAGCTGGAGTTGTGTCTGGGTGTTGGCAGAGAGTTGTTGCTGTGCCGAGGTGTTGGCAGAGAGCTGGCGTTGTGGGGGAGTGTTGGCAGAGAGTTGTTGCTGTGCCAAGGTGTTGGCAGAGAGTTGTTGTTGTGCCGAAGTGTTGGCAGATAGCTGGCGCTGAAGAGGGGTGTTGGCAGGAACTGGCGTTGAAGATGAGTGTTGGCAGAGAACTGGCGTTGTGTCTGGGTGTTGGCAGAGAGCTGGAGTTGTGTCTGGGTGTTGGCAGAGAACGGCGTTGAGATGTTGGCAGAGAGCTGGAGTTGTGTCTGGGTGTTGGCAGAGAGCTGGAGTTGTGTCTGAGTGTTGGCAGAGAGTTGTTGCTGTGGAAGAGAGTTGGCAGAGAGCTGGAGTTGTGTCTGAGTGTTGCAGAGAGTTGTTGCTGTGCCGAGGTGTTTGGCAGAGAGCTGGCGTTGTGGGGAGTGTTGGCAGAGAGTTGTTGCTGTGCAAGGTGTTGGCAGAGAGTTGTTGCTGTGCCGAAGTGTTGGCAGAGAGCTGGCGCTGAAGATGAGTGTTGGCAGAGAGTTGGCGTTGTGTCTGGGTGTTGGCAGACAGTTGTTGCTGTGCCGAGGTGTTGGCAGAGAGCTGGCGTTGAAGATGAGTGTTGGCAGAGAGTTGGCGTTGAAGAGGAGTGTTGGCAGAGAGTTGTTGCTGTGGAAGAGAGTTGGCAGAGAGTTGTTGCTGTGGAAGAGAGTTGGCAGAGAGCTGGCGTTGTGGGGGAGTGTTGGCAGAGAGTTGTTGCTGTGCCAAGGTGTTGGCAGAGAGCTGGCGTTGAAGATGAGTGTTGGCAGAGAGCTGGCGTTGTGTCTGGGTGTTGGCAGAGAGCTGGAGTTGTGTCTGAGTGTTGGCAGAGAATTGTTGCTGTGGAAGAGAGTTGGCAGAGAGCTGGAGTTGTGTCTGGGTGTTGGCAGAGAGTTGTTGCTGTGCCGAGGTGTTGGCAGAGAGCTGGCGTTGTGGGGGAGTGTTGGCAGAGAGTTGTTGCTGTGCCAAGGTGTTGGCAGAGAGTTGTTGCTGTGCCGAAGTGTTGGCAGAGAGCTGGCGCTGAAGATGAGTGTTGGCAGAGAGTTGGCGTTGTGTCTGGGTGTTGGCAGACAGTTGTTGCTGTGCCGAGGTGTTGGCAGAGAGCTGGCGTTGAAGATGAGTGTTGGCAGAGAGTTGTTGCTGTGGAAGAGAGTTGGCAGAGAGTTGTTGCTGTGGAAGAGAGTTGGCAGAGAGCTGGCGTTGTGGGGGAGTGTTGGCAGAGAGTTGTTGCTGTGCCAAGGTGTTGGCAGAGAGCTGGCGTTGAAGATGAGTGTTGGCAGAGAGCTGGCGTTGTGTCTGGGTGTTGGCAGAGAGCTGGAGTTGTGTCTGAGTGTTGGCAGAGAATTGTTGCTGTGGAAGAGAGTTGGCAGAGAGCTGGCGTTGTGTCTGGGTGTTGGCAGAGAGCTGGAGTTGTGTCTGAGTGTTGGCAGAGAGTTGTTGCTGTGGAAGAGAGTTGGCAGAGAGCTGGAGTTGTGTCTGGGTGTTGGCAGAGAGTTGTTGCTGTGCCGAGGTGTTGGCAGAGAGCTGGCGTTGTGGGGGAGTGTTGGCAGAGAGTTGTTGCTGTGCCAAGGTGTTGGCAGAGAGCTGGCGTTGAAGATGAGTGTTGGCAGAGAGCTGGCGTTGTGTCTGGGTGTTGGCAGAGAGCTGGAGTTGTGTCTGAGTGTTGGCAGAGAATTGTTGCTGTGGAAGAGAGTTGGCAGAGAGCTGGCGTTGTGTCTGGGTGTTGGCAGAGAGCTGGAGTTGTGTCTGAGTGTTGGCAGAGAATTGTTGATGTGGAAGAGAGTTGGCAGAGAGCTGGAGTTGTGTCTGGGTGTTGGCAGAGAGTTGTTGCTGTGCCGAGGTGTTGGCAGAGAGCTGGCGTTGTGGGGGAGTGTTGGCAGAGAGTTGTTGCTGTGCCAAGGTGTTGGCAGAGAGTTGTTGCTGTGCCGAAGTGTTGGCAGAGAGCTGGCGTTGAAGATGAGTGTTGGCAGAGAGTTGTTGCTGTGGAAGAGAGTTGGCAGAGAGCTGGCGTTGTGTCTGGGTGTTGGCAGAGAGTTGTTGCTGTGGAAGAGAGTTGGCAGAGAGCTGGCGTTGTGTCTGGGTGTTGGCAGAGAGCTGGCGTTGTGTCTGGGTGTTGGCAGAGAATTGTTGATGTGGAAGAGAGTTGGCAGAGAGCTGGCGTTGTGTCTGGGTGTTGGCAGAGAGTTTGTGCTGTGGAAGAGAGTTGGCAGAGAGCTGGCGTTGTGTCTGGGTGTTGGCAGAGAGCTGGCGTTGTGTCTGGGTGTTGGCAGAGAGCTGGAGTTGTGTCTGGGTGTTGGCAGAGAGCTGGAGTTGTGTCTGAGTGTTGGCAGAGAGCTGGCGTTGTGTCTGGGTGTTGGCAGAGAATTGTTGATGTGGAAGAGAGTTGGCAGAGAGCTGGCGTTGTGTCTGGGTGTTGGCAGAGAGCTGGCGTTGTGTCTGGGTGTTGGCAGAGAATTGTTGATGTGGAAGAGAGTTGGCAGAGAGCTGGCGTTGTGTCTGGGTGTTGGCAGAGAGTTGTTGCTGTGCCGAGGTGTTGGCAGAGAGCTGGCGTTGTGGGGAGTGTTGGCAGAGAGTTGTTGCTGTGCAAGGTGTTGGCAGAGAGTTGTTGTGCTGTGCCGAAGTGTTGGCAGAGAGCTGGTTGAAGATGAGTGTTGGCAGAGAGTTGGCGTTGAAGAGGAGTGTTGGCAGAGAGTTGTTGCTGTGCCGAGGTGTTGGCAGAGAGCTGGCGTTGTGTCTGGGTGTTGGCAGAGAGCTGGCGTTGAAGATGAGTGTTGGCAGAGAGCTGGCGTTGTGTCTGGGTGTTGGCAGACAGTTGTTGCTGTGCCGAGGTGTTGGCAGAGAGCTGGCGTTGAAGATGAGTGTTGGCAGAGAGTTGGCGTTGAAGAGGAGTGTTGGCAGAGAGTTGTTGCTGTGGAAGAGAGTTGGCAGAGAGTTGTTGCTGTGGAAGAGAGTTGGCAGAGAGCTGGCGTTGTGGGGGAGTGTTGGCAGAGAGTTGTTGCTGTGCCAAGGTGTTGGCAGAGAGCTGGCGTTGAAGATGAGTGTTGGCAGAGAGCTGGCGTTGTGTCTGGGTGTTGGCAGAGAGCTGGAGTTGTGTCTGAGTGTTGGCAGAGAATTGTTGCTGTGGAAGAGAGTTGGCAGAGAGCTGGCGTTGTGTCTGGGTGTTGGCAGAGAGCTGGAGTTGTGTCTGGGTGTTGGCAGAGAATTGTTGATGTGGAAGAGAGTTGGCAGAGAGCTGGAGTTGTGTCTGGGTGTTGGCAGAGAGTTGTTGCTGTGGAAGAGAGTTGGCAGAGAGCTGGCGTTGTGTCTGGGTGTTGGCAGAGAGCTGGCGTTGTGTCTGGGTGTTGGCAGAGAATTGTTGATGTGGAAGAGAGTTGGCAGAGAGCTGGCGTTGTGTCTGGGTGTTGGCAGAGAGTTGTTGCTGTGGAAGAGAGTTGGCAGAGAGCTGGCGTTGTGTCTGGGTGTTGGCAGAGAGCTGGCGTTGTGTCTGGGTGTTGGCAGAGAGCTGGAGTTGTGTCTGGGTGTTGGCAGAGAGCTGGAGTTGTGTCTGAGTGTTGGCAGAGAGCTGGCGTTGTGTCTGGGTGTTGGCAGAGAATTGTTGATGTGGAAGAGAGTTGGCAGAGAGCTGGCGTTGTGTCTGGGTGTTGGCAGAGAGCTGGCGTTGTGTCTGGGTGTTGGCAGAGAATTGTTGATGTGGAAGAGAGTTGGCAGAGAGCTGGCGTTGTGTCTGGGTGTTGGCAGAGAGTTGTTGCTGTGCCGAGGTGTTGGCAGAGAGCTGGCGTTGTGGGGGAGTGTTGGCAGAGAGTTGTTGCTGTGCCAAGGTGGTGGCAGAGAGCTGGCGTTGTGTCTGGGTGTTGCAGACAGTTGTTGCTGTGCCGAGGTGTTGGCAGAGAGCTGGCGTTGAAGATGAGTGTTGGCAGAGAGTTGGCGTTGAAGAGGAGTGTTGGCAGAGAGTTGTTGCTGTGGAAGAGAGTTGGCAGAGAGCTGGCGTTGTGGGGGAGTGTTGGCAGAGAGTTGTTGCTGTGGAAGAGAGTTGGCAGAGAGCTGGCATTGTGTCTGGGTGTTGGCAGAGAGCTGGAGTTGTGTCTGGGTGTTGGCAGAGAATTGTTGATGTGGAAGAGAGTTGGCAGAGAGCTGGCGTTGTGTCTGGGTGTTGGCAGAGAGCTGGAGTTGTGTCTGAGTGTTGGCAGAGAGTTCTTGCTGTGCCAAGGTGTTGGCAGAGAGCTGGCGTTGAAGATGAGTGTTGGCAGAGAGCTGGAGTTGTGTCTGGGTGTTGGCAGAGAGCTGGCGTTGTGTCTGGGTGTTGGCAGAGAATTGTTGATGTGGAAGAGAGTTGGCAGAGAGCTGGCGTTGTGTCTGGGTGTTGGCAGAGAGCTGGAGTTGTGTCTGGGTGTTGGCAGAGAATTGTTGATGTGGAAGAGAGTTGGCAGAGAGCTGGAGTTGTGTCTGGGTGTTGGCAGAGAGTTGTTGCTGTGCCGAGGTGTTGGCAGAGAGCTGGCGTTGTGGGGGAGTGTTGGCAGAGAGTTGTTGCTGTGCCAAGGTGGTGGCAGAGAGCTGGCGTTGTGTCTGGGTGTTGGCAGACAGTTGTTGCTGTGCCGAGGTGTTGGCAGAGAGCTGGCGTTGAAGATGAGTGTTGGCAGAGAGTTGGCGTTGAAGAGGAGTGTTGGCAGAGAGTTGTTGCTGTGGAAGAGAGTTGGCAGAGAGCTGGCGTTGTGGGGGAGTGTTGGCAGAGAGTTGTTGCTGTGAAGAGAGTTGGCAGAGAGCTGGCATTGTGTCTGGGTGTTGCAGAGAGCTGGAGTTGTGTCTGGGTGTTGGCAAAGAGAATTGTTTGGATGTGGAGAGAGTTGGCAGAGAGCTGGCGTTGTGTCTGGGTGTTGGCAGAGAGCTGGAGTTGTGTCTGGGTGTTGGCAGAGAATTGTTGATGTGGAAGAGAGTTGGCAGAGAGCTGGAGTTGTGTCTGGGTGTTGGCAGAGAGTTGTTGCTGTGCCGAGGTGTTGGCAGAGAGCTGGCGTTGTGGGGGAGTGTTGGCAGAGAGTTGTTGCTGTGCCAAGGTGTTGGCAGAGAGTTGTTGCTGTGCCGAAGTGTTGGCAGATAGCTGGCGCTGAAGAGGGGTGTTGGCAGAGAACTGGCGTTGAAGATGAGTGTTGGCAGAGAACTGGCGTTGTGTCTGGGTGTTGGCAGAGAGCTGGAGTTGTGTCTGGGTGTTGGCAGAGAACTGGCGTTGAAGATGAGTGTTGGCAGAGAGCTGGAGTTGTGTCTGGGTGTTGGCAGAGAGCTGGAGTTGTGTCTGAGTGTTGGCAGAGAGTTGTTGCTGTGGAAGAGAGTTGGCAGAGAGCTGGAGTTGTGTCTGAGTGTTGGCAGAGAGTTGTTGCTGTGCCGAGGTGTTGGCAGAGAGCTGGCGTTGTGGGGGAGTGTTGGCAGAGAGTTGTTGCTGTGCCAAGGTGTTGGCAGAGAGTTGTTGCTGTGCCGAAGTGTTGGCAGATAGCTGGCGCTGAAGAGGGGTGTTGGCAGAGAACTGGCGTTGAAGATGAGTGTTGGCAAGAAGAACTGGCGTTGTGTCTGGGTGTTGGCAGAGAGCTGGAGTTGTGTCTGGGTGTTGGCAGAGAACTGGCGTTGAAGATGAGTGTTGGCAGAGAGCTGGAGTTGTGTCTGGGTGTTGGCAGAGAGCTGGAGTTTGTGTCTGAGTGTTGGCAGAGAGTTGTTGCTGTGGAAGAGAGTTGGCAGAGAGCTGGAGTTGTGTCTGAGTGTTGGCAGAGAGTTGTTGCTGTGCCGAGGTGTTGGCAGAGAGCGTGCGTGTGGGGAGTGTTGGCAAGAGAGTTGTTGCTGTGCCAAGGTGTTGGCAGAGAGTTGTTGCTGTGCCGAAGTGTTGGCAGAGAGCTGGCGCTGAAGATGAGTGTTGGCAGAGAGTTGGCGTTGTGTCTGGGTGTTGGCAGACAGTTGTTGCTGTGCCGAGGTGTTGGCAGAGAGCTGGCGTTGAAGATGAGTGTTGGCAGAGAGTTGGCGTTGAAGAGGAGTGTTGGCAGAGAGTTGTTGCTGTGGAAGAGAGTTGGCAGAGAGTTGTTGCTGTGGAAGAGAGTTGGCAGAGAGCTGGCGTTGTGGGGGAGTGTTGGCAGAGAGTTGTTGCTGTGCCAAGGTGTTGGCAGAGAGCTGGCGTTGAAGATGAGTGTTGGCAGAGAGCTGGCGTTGTGTCTGGGTGTTGGCAGAGAGCTGGAGTTGTGTCTGAGTGTTGGCAGAGAATTGTTGCGTGGAAGGAGTTGGCAGAGAGCTGGAGTTGTGTCTGGGTGTTGGCAGAGAGTTGTTGCTGTGCCGAGGTGTTGGCAGAGAGCTGGCGTTGTGGGGGAGTGTTGGCAGAGAGTTGTTGCTGTGCCAAGGTGTTGGCAGAGAGTTGTTGCTGTGCCGAAGTGTTGGCAGAGAGCTGGCGCTGAAGATGAGTGTTGGCAGAGAGCTGGAGTTGTGTCTGGGTGTTGGCAGAGAGCTGGAGTTGTGTCTGAGTGTTGGCAGAGAATTGTTGATGTGGAAGAGAGTTGGCAGAGAGCTGGAGTTGTGTCTGGGTGTTGGCAGAGAGTTGTTGCTGTGCCGAGGTGTTGGCAGAGAGCTGGCGTTGTGGGGGAGTGTTGGCAGAGAGTTGTTGCTGTGCCAAGGTGTTGGCAGAGAGTTGTTGCTGTGCCGAAGTGTTGGCAGAGAGCTGGCGCTGAAGATGAGTGTTGGCAGAGAGTTGGCGTTGTGTCTGGGTGTTGGCAGACAGTTGTTGCTGTGCCGAGGTGTTGGCAGAGAGCTGGCGTTGAAGATGAGTGTTGGCAGAGAGTTGGCGTTGAAGAGGAGTGTTGGCAGAGAGTTGTTGCTGTGGAAGAGAGTTGGCAGAGAGTTGTTGCTGTGGAAGAGAGTTGGCAGAGAGCTGGCGTTGTGGGGGAGTGTTGGCAGAGAGTTGTTGCTGTGCCAAGGTGTTGGCAGAGAGCTGGCGTTGAAGATGAGTGTTGGCAGAGAGCTGGCGTTGTGTCTGGGTGTTTGGCAGAGAGCTGGAGTTGTGTCTGAGTGTTGGCAGAGAGTTGTTGCTGTGGAAGAGAGTTGGCAGAGAGCTGGCGTTGTGTCTGGGTGTTGGCAGAGAGCTGGAGTTGTGTCGGGTGTTGGCAGAGAATTGTTGATGTGGAAGAGAGTTGGCAGAGAGTGGAGTTGTGTCTGGGTGTTGGCAGAGAGTTGTTGCTGTGCCGATTGTTGGCAGAGAGCTGGCGTTGTGGGGGAGTGTTGGCAGAGAGTTGTTGCTCGTGCCAAGGTGTTGGCAGAGAGCTGGCGTTGAAGATGAGTGTTGGCAGAGAGCTGGCGTTGTGTCTGGGTGTTGGCAGAGAGCTGGAGTTGTGTTCTGGAGTGTTGGCAGAGAATTGTTGCTGTGGAAGAGAGTTGGCAGAGAGCTGGAGTTGTGTCTGGGTGTTGGCAGAGAGCTGGAGTTGTGTCTGAGTGTTGGCAGAGAATTGTTGCTGTGGAAGAGAGTTGGCAGAGAGCTGGAGTTGTGTCTGGGTGTTGGCAGAGAGTTGTTGCTGTGCCGAGGTGTTGGCAGAGAGCTGGCGTTGTGGGGGAGTGTTGGCAGAGAGTTGTTGCTGTGCCGAAGTGTTGGCAGAGAGCTGGCGTTGAAGATGAGTGTTGGCAGAGAGTTGGCGTTGAAGAGGAGTGTTGGCAGAGAGTTGTTGCTGTGCCGAGGTGTTGGCAGAGAGCTGGCGTTGTGTCTGGGTGTTGGCAGAGAGCTGGCGTTGAAGATGAGTGTTGGCAGAGAGCTGGCGTTGTGTCTGGGTGTTGGCAGACAGTTGTTGCTGTGCCGAGGTGTTGGCAGAGAGCTGGCGTTGAAGATGAGTGTTGGCAGAGAGTTGGCGTTGAAGAGGAGTGTTGGCAGAGAGTTGTTGCTGTGGAAGAGAGTTGGCAGAGAATTGTTGCTGTGGAAGAGAGTTGGCAGAGAGCTGGCGTTGTGTCTGGGTGTTGGCAGAGAGCTGGCGTTGTGTCTGGGTGTTGGCAGAGAATTGTTGATGTGGAAGAGAGTTGGCAGAGAGCTGGCGTTGTGTCTGGGTGTTGGCAGAGAGTTGTTGCTGTGGAAGAGAGTTGGCAGAGAGCTGGCGTTGTGTCTGGGTGTTGGCAGAGAGCTGGCGTTGTGTCTGGGTGTTGGCAGAGAATTGTTGATGTGGAGAGAGTTGGCAGAGAGCTGGCGTTGTGTCTGGGTGTTGGCAGAGAGTTGTTGCTGTGGAGAGAGTTGGCAGAGAGCTGGCGTTGTGTCTGGGTGTTGGCAGAGAGCTGGCGTTGTGTCTGGGTGTTGGCAGAGAGCTGGAGTTGTGTCTGGGTGTTGGCAGAGAGCTGGAGTTGTGTCTGAGTGTTGGCAGAGAGCTGGCGTTGTGTCTGGGTGTTGGCAGAGAGTTGTTGCTGTGCCGAGGTCTTGGCAGAGAGTTGGCGTTGAAGAGGAGTGTTGGCAGAGAGTTGTTGCTGTGGAAGAGAGTTGGCAGAGAGTTGTTGCTGTGGAAGAGAGCTGGCAGAGAGCTGGCGTTGTGGGGGAGTGTTGGCAGAGAGTTGTTGCTGTGCCAAGGTGTTGGCAGAGAGCTGGCGTTGAAGATGAGTGTTGGCAGAGAGCTGGCGTTGTGTCTGAGTGTTGGCAGAGAATTGTTGCTGTGGAAGAGAGTTGGCAGAGAGCTGGCGTTGTGTCTGGGTGTTGGCAGAGAGCTGGCGTTGTGTCTGGGTGTTGGCAGAGAGTTGTTGCTGTGGAAGAGAGTTGGCAGAGAGCTGGCGTTGTGTCTGGGTGTTGGCAGAGAGCTGGCGTTGTGTCTGGGTGTTGGCAGAGAATTGTTGATGTGGAAGAGAGTTGGCAGAGAGCTGGCGTTGTGTCTGGGTGTTGGCAGAGAGCTGGAGTTGTGTCTGGGTGTTGGCAGAGAATTGTTGATGTGGAAGAGAGTTGGCAGAGAGCTGGCGTTGTGTCTGGGTGTTGGCAGAGAGCTGGCGTTGTGTCTGGGTGTTGGCAGAGAATTGTTGATGTGGAAGAGAGTTGGCAGAGAGCTGGCGTTGTGTCTGGGTGTTGGCAGAGAGCTGTTGCTGTGGAAGAGAGTTGGCAGAGAGCTGGCGTTGTGTCTGGGTGTTGGCAGAGAGCTGGAGTTGTGTCTGGGTGTTGGCAGAGAATTGTTGATGTGGAAGAGAGTTGTCAGAGAGCTGGCGTTGTGTCTGGGTGTTGGCAGAGAGTTGTTGCTGTGCCGAGGTGTTGGCAGAGAGCTGGCGTTGAAAATGAGTGTTGGCAGAGAGTTGGCGTTGAAGAGGAGTGTTGGCAGAGAGTTGTTGCTGTGCCGAGGTGTTGGCAGAGAGCTGGCGTTGTGTCTGGGTGTTGGCAGAGAGTTGTTTCTGTGGAAGAGAGTTGGCAGAGAGCTCGAGTTGTGTCTGAGTGTTGGCAGAGAGTTGTTGCTGTGGAAGAGAGTTGGCAGAGAGCTGGCGTTGTGTCTGGGTGTTGGCAGAGAGTTGTTGCTGTGGAAGAGAGTTGGCAGAGAGCTGGAGTTGTGTCTGAGTGTTGGCAGAGAGTTGTTGCTGTGGAAGAGAGTTGGCAGAGAGCTGGCGTTGTGTCTGGGTGTTGGCAGAGAGCTGGAGTTGTGTCTGAGTGTTGGCAGAGAGTTGTTGCTGTGCCGAGGTGTTGGCAGAGAGCTGGCGTTGAAGATGAGTGTTGGCAGAGAGCTGGCGTTGTGTCTGGGTGTTGGCAGAGAGTTGTTGCTGTGGAAGAGAGTTGGCAGAGAGCTGGCGTTGTGGGGGAGTGTTGGCAG